ATGTTATATTATATTATATTATATGATATTATATTATATTATATGATATTATATTATATTATATTATATTATATTATATTATGTTATATTGTATTATATTATATTACATTATATTATATCATATCATATTATATTATATTATATTATATTATATTATATTATAATATTTTATTATATTATGTTATATTATATTATATTTTATTATATTATATTTACATTATATTTATATTTTATTATATTTCATTATATTATACTAATCTATATTATACTCTCTATATATATATATATATATATATTATATTGTATATTACATAAAACCTATTGACCGAACTGGGCGGAAGGGAAAGAGAGCCTCCTGCACCAAAAGGTGGTGAATGCGTAAATGGCCATGAAGTCTGGGTCCTTTAAATGGTTCCTCAAAGGTTTCTATAGGGGCTACTATAAGGGTTTAGGGTTGTTTTAAGTGTCCTTGTTGGCCGCATTTTTTACATTTCTGTGATGATAAAGCCCAATAAGGACTAAACATGATCATTTTTAATATAGCTCCAACAGGAAACCAGAAATGTGTAGGGTTTACCTACAACCCCAAAAGTAGGTAAAATAATGGCGCAATACCCATAAAGGACTATTATTCTACATGTTTTGGGGGTCCGGGTAGGGTTTAGGGGTTTGACGTGGTCTAGGGGTTTAGTACGGTATCTCCAAAATTGTCCATGCCCGCCTTTGTGCCCTTATAGCTTGTAAGCCCTAAGCGGCCTGGGGTTTTGGGTGTTGGGTTTTGGTTTAGGGTTTGGGGCTATAGTGACTGCTCCACAGGCTACGGTCGCAACCCCGCGATGCTAGCGGGCGAATACTGCGAGAAATGCTTCCCGTCCAAAACTTTCAGCTTTTGGGATGTGGAGCTTCAGGTGTCGGAATGTCTGTTGGTTTAGGATTCAGGTTTAGGGTTTAGGCTTGAGGATTCAGGCTTTGTGGCGAGATCGGTTTATAGTTTGTGCAGAGTTTGCAGTTCAGGCTTTTCAGAAAGCTGGCGCTCATTCAGGTTTGTTTCGGGTGAGGGGCATGTTGGGTGAGTTTGCTGGCTACATTTGTATGAGCACCGATGATGCAGCATGTTATTTTGCTCCCTCGCGTCCCAAACCCTGACCGCGCACGTAAGCTGAAGCCAATAATCCAGAAGCTCCTTTGTTTCGATTCTTGTTTTTTCGGATTCAGGGTTCGAGGATTTACTGTTCACCTGAACCGTTGCACCTGGCCAAATCTGAGGTGCGGAAGGTTGCAAATCCTGCACACAGGCCGGTGCCAAGAAATGCGATACATGCGGCGACGGCTATGCCCTCATTGTCGCGCAACAGATCTGCAGCCGGGACTGAGTCCAGCCAGACCACCACCTTCCTGGTAGGATGCGAACAATTATGAACCCTGATTTCTGAAAAGGTCATTGGGGACGCTGCTTACTTACAAAAGTATACGTAGCTTATACTAGGTGCCGATAGGCTGCACCTGGAACCCTGAGCCCGAATACAAGTTGCAAGCCGCGTAAGTAGAAAAGCTTGTGGCAAAGCAGCCTCCAACGTGCGGGTTTTAGGGTTCAAGGTTTAGGGTTTTAGGGTTTAGGGTTTTAGGGTTTAGGGTTGTAGAAGCCATCAAGTTGGAACAGTTTAGGGTTGAACCGAGAGCAACCCCACCACCTAAACCAGCAAATGCCGAGCAACCCCTAGACCACCCAAACTTCCCGATAGTGAACTTCGTCATACGGTTGATGACAAAATCCTGCATGACCATATATACCTAAACTATGGGATTTATGCTACTATACTATATGTGGGTCATGCAGAATGTCGTCCATCAACGTACAGTGCTGTGCTGCCAGCAACCCGTCCAAAGAGCCGAAGCAAGTTAAAGTTAGCAGGAGTGATATGGAGGGAAACTGCTGGGCCTCCCCACTCAAGAACGAACCCTAAACCCTGACGCACCGAGGTGGTAAGTGTGCCGACAACTGCCGCAAATGCGGAGTACCCGGCAAATGCAATCAGGGTCAATGCAAGGCCGGAGAGTGTGTACCCTTTTTCTATAAACATAAACTTCATACGCAAGCTCTAAACTTCAAGGTTTAAGGTTTATGATTCCGACATTTCATAAGCAAGCTCGAAACATAACTACTAGCCGTTACTAGCCGAAACCGAAGCACCTAAGTACTGGGTCCTTTGGACCCGAAGGGGGAGGGTTTGGGAACCCTAAACCCTAA